TCCACCTATTAAACATGGTCCATCCAGACTGAAACTCATTCTCCATTGCCTGTTGATGATTATTATTCACCATAAAATTTTAATAGAATACATATTTCACTTTCGGTTCCCCCTTTGTGCGACTTATGGTTTTGATCATTTGGAAACTGTGCAAATAATGATTTGGCCATAATATTGGGCGATTAAAAATGTGGAAATCTTATAGCATTGTTTCGTCTATATTTCCATTGTGCGAGCGTGAGTCAAAAAAGAAAAAGCGCAAATGTTCTCTGCATTCTGGCCGTTTCGCATTGTGCCCGGGCATCGTTTGTCGTTGTTCCCCCAATGTGTGTATAGCACAAAAACCAAATACCGTAATTCACTTAATGAAAAATGACATGTGTAATAGAATGGGATCACATGCATTTATTATTGTTTCCCTGTGATTGGGGTTATAGGAACGCATTGTAATGAAATGAAAGCACAAAAGGGAACCGTTTCACTCGTCGCTCGTATTTATTTGTATGGTATCTTTTGCTATCGTTTCGAGTGAATGGTGAAACTGTTATTTGTCTGCATGCCACACATATTAGATTCAAATTCGAAAGCAATTTTTCACTTGTCTGGCAAACACACACACTCACAACGGACACGGTGTAGCACACAGCTTCGACTCTCATCATTACGTATAGCAAAGCATTAAATTTGTGTACGGTATACATTCAGGCGATTGTTCCACCGATTGTTTTGGCTTTTGATAGGATTTTTCCCAGTTCGATCATTTCTTATGTAGTCTAGCTATACGTTTTTGTTTTTCTGCCGACGAATTGACAACAGCCCAAAGTCAAATAGATAGACACGATTTGGAAACGGAGCACAAGCGAAATGAAGACGAAATAGATAAGGCCAAGAAAAATGTTCGCTGTTGTATACCCCAGTCAAAGTTTAAACAGGATCATCAATTGAAATGGGTTACGCTGTTGATGATGACGATGATGATGATGATGATGATTTTTCCTTCAGTTGTATTGGGTACGTGCGTGAGAATGGCTATCAATATGCAATAAGTGAATTTATGTGTCGGTCCTTCCTTCTTGAAACCCGTTGACCAAGCCACAGACAAATACAAACTATTGAATCTTTCCTAAGGATTCTTTCTCAATAGAATGAAGACGATTGTCGGTGCAAGCAACCAAAAACTAAAGAAAAATACCCGAAGGAATTTAATGAAATCGATATTTTTTTCTATTTGTTTTGATAGCCATTGTAATATGTGGTGCGTGGTGGTCCAGCTTATACGTTCATTGTGCGGTATTAGTGTCGACATTTCAACCTTTGACAGCAACCTTTTGTATGACAACAGAATACCGGACATTTTATTAAATGTTTATAATTGTTGCTGAACGGAATCTTGTTGGAAATAAATCAACGGCCATTATTCGATGAACCAACCGGATCGACAAAGCTATAGATCGAGAGTTTGTAAAAGAAGTTCACTAGATGTTGAATCAAGATATTAGATTCTGTTCGACAGACAAATATATGGCTCCACTGGTTTCTTTTCATTATTACCGTTAAAAGTTCTTCGATTCTATTTAATAGACGAATGTTTTACCGCCAGAATCCGAATTAATTTCACATGCGTGCGTTCCATTTCCCAATGCTCTCAGCAAACTATAGATTAGGGTCGGCGAACATGAACAGCTTTAATAACTTACTGTTCTTATGATCAATCTTTTTCACACTAAAATATATGTTCACGATACAAACGTGGAAAAGAGTCATTTTCGACCACAAATGATCGTTACTGTCTCATGGGACATATCAGTGTGTTTGCACACTACATCTACTATCCATTGATTAATGTAATTGATTATCATTGCATGTGGCTAAGTTTTCTCAGTTCGTCTTTCTTGTTTCGATATCAATAATTTGCTAAACTGAATATCCACTCACATATATGCTCTCTACGGCTATATTTGAGTACATATATTGTATATTATATATGGTTATCGATAAATTTTCATGCTATGTTTTACTTGTGAATTTGTTGATGAAAATTTCAAACCCAATTTTCACAAATATGGTGCGTGTTTCGAACAGGTCCGTAAAATAAAATTTGATGAGAATGTAAACCATGTATGTTATATAAACGACATTCATTGATCACATTCATACCATTTTCAAATATTATGAAAGACGAACTTCTGCAGAACTCTAGAGATTCACAAGTTTTTTTTTTCGTAACAAATTTCGATACCATTAGAATGAACATTGAACATACTTTTTTTGCATCATTGTTTCGTCTAAATTTCCAAGTCATGTTGTACTAAAGAACATCGATGTTCTTCATGTTATATTGTTACCACGATCAGTTTTTATATCGGAGAAAATGTTCAACCATCAAATACACTTTGAATAAGTTTTAATGTTTCAAACTCTCAAACTAGTCATCATTTTCGATGGAATTCTTTCAAATAACTTAGGATGTACAAAACAGAAATTGCTAAATCGTGATTGATACATCATCTGAATTTACATCATCGTAAAAAGTATTCGTAATAACGGCATTTGGTGCTGTGTATAAGCAAGACCTTTGAATAGGTGTTTATATGCCATTGTTCATTCACTAAAGAAAAAATCGAAAATTCAATTGAATGACTAACTTAATCGATTGAATTCGAATTCGTCTACTTACATGACAGACAGTATGATGTTCAACATTTTCAACAAATTACCGACCAACTGATTGTAACTAAAATCGACTAATTAGTAACTATAGTCAACAGAGCTGGAATTGTGAATAAAAAATAGTCGATGAGAGAATAAGGCACATTTCGTCCTCAGATCTGTGTATCAGTGAACTGATGAAGCGAGCAACGTATTACACATAACATAAATGTAGTTGTAATACATTAGCGTAAAAGTAGCAACATCTGTGTTACCAGTGTGCAACATTGAACAACACCGCTCAAAAGTAGCTACGTGTTAGTAGCGACGATGAGAAGCATAGTTTTGTGTGCCTTATTCTTTGAGCCAAATGCTAAATTTGGATTTTTTTGACGAGTGTAAATAATCTATAAAAGGGCACAACAAATATGATATTTTGCTCACTTTTTGAATTTTCAGAAGTTTTCAATTGATTTGAAAAGAAAAAAAATAAAACTATAGGAAATACGAGCTGTACCTTACGTTAAACAATATGCGTAATTTTCATTTATAACTTCTGAATTGGAGAAATTCGAAATAAAATAGCTAATTCGCATGTGCAACTTGGCACTTTTGTGTGAGATTCATTTAAACGGTGTCACATGGCATTCTGAAAATGAACTGAGAGAGGCTGGTCAGTTTTCGGTTAGTAATTACAAATGACTTATGAACATTGCTTCTTTTTGTCTTCTTGATGCCCTAACCCCAAAAAATAAATTATATGCGCGCAAATTTATTGAAATCGCTTATACAAACGTTGATTACATACAGCCCGTGCGATGCAGCATACCGACGTCAAACGTACAATTTTACAATAATATGTGGACAGCGGCAAGCGAACAGAGGCGAAAAACTATGCAGTCTCTCTCTATGTGTGTGTGTGTGTGAGTATGTGCATGGGTTGCAGCGTGCAGCACTGCATCACGTACTTGATTGCATTATGCAATTATACGTTGTAACCGTGCACGAAACGAACCGTATTATTCATTATATCTTCACAGATAGTGTTTAGATGGTTAACTCGCTTACGAAAATTCTCTGCATAGAATTGAAAATGTCGAAAGTACATACAGGGGATCAGAGATGTTAAGTTTGAGAGTTGTTTCACTTGCAACCAGAACGTTTTTGCCACTCTGATGTTTTTTTTTTTTCAATATATCGCTCTGTATTTTCATGGATTTTACAAAGAGGACACGTGCAATTGCAACACGATACTGGCGAAAATCTATTTGCAATCCTGGAACGAACGAACATACAAACGAACAGAAGCTATGAATTAAACGCGCACTGCGAAATTATCATTGTACCATTGCATTCGTCTATTCCCAATTCAACGTTCTCTCTCTGGCTGTGTGCTACGAAACGCACTCTCGCAACGTAATCATCATCAGTTTTTTGTTGTTGTTGTTGTTGTTTACGAATATCAGACAAACGTCCTTGTTTCTCCTTCAGCACTCACATTCACACGGCTGGTGCGGAACTGTATCCGCCAAATGTGTGCCTTGGTTTTTGTCGTCGTCATCGTCATCATCATCGTCGTTCAGTGTCCTGAAAAGGATTCGGGATTCAGAATTCAAAAGCAATTTTCTCATTCTAAATCGGATAAATACGGTTGAAAATGTTTATCTATTTGTTCGCCATAAAAGGGTGATGGGTTATATTCATTTCATCAGCCGACATAGAATGGTTCTGAAGCAGCAGCACCACTGCATTCGCCATCCGACCGTCAGGTATGAGAGAGTCTGAACACTTCTTTTTTTTTTTCACCAAGAGCCAGAGAGAAGCTTAATTTTAAATTTCATCAGGAGAATTCTGTACATCGATGAATGTATACAATTCGTGCCATATTACACACCGTTTCCACGTAGAGCATATTATTGGGTCTGGTAAAGGACTCGTTTGCGAAAAGCGCACGTATCTTGCTCTGTTTGTTTGAGTGTATTAGCAGCATACGTTTCGCATTGAATCCAGCATTTGCACAAAGCTTCAAAATATCGTTACTGTTCCTCTATCCATATCGCAGTAACACATACACACACACACACATACACTGAATGGATACGACAACGTCAGTGTGACGCATACGTATAAACACTCACACACATTCACTCTCGCATTCGGTGTAAAATGTGCTCGGAATTTTTAGTCCGCATGGCAAGGGGGCGTCCGCAACAACCGCATCAAATGTTGTAATACGATTGATTTCAATTTTCAGAGAGGTAGTTGGAGCTTGTTTGTGTGTGAGACACACGCTATGCGCCATGCGATTGTCAAAAGCCAGCGCTCCATGTTTACTACGTGTGGGTCTATTCAGTTGTGTTTCGAACATTCAACGAAACGGAAGCCAAATCATTCCGATCTTATTCTCGCTTGTGTAATAAATTACAATAGAGTGAAAAGTTTTTTTTGCGAAATCAAATAGATATTAGTTAGCCGGGCGAATGTGCTATTTTAGTTCTCAAGAAGGACGAAGTTGGAAAATGGAATGAATTGAAGAATTTGTAATTTTTGTTTCGTGTTTTTTAAAACAAAATTTAAGATTTACCGAAAAAAATAAATAACGAAAACACTACTCAGACACAAGTGACCATCACTGAATGTGAAATGGTTTAGAGCTGCTTCAACACCTTGCACACAAAACCGCATTAATGGTGAATAAAACAATGAAAAATTGAGGCTGCAAGAGCAAGAAGAAACGAAAATATAATCATCTCACATTATCAAAGGTCAGCGGAAACGAAGCAAATGAAATAAAATATTAAAAAAAAAAAAAACGAAATGAAATGCTCGGCAACGATAAGTGATGTTTTCAACTGTCAACTGTTATCGAATGAACAACGCTTTACTGAAATATCAGCAACTGTTATTAAGAAAAAAGAAATTAGTGATTTGAAATCAATTTCGAACAACACAACGAATGATTTAGAGTAGAAAGTTGCTACAAACGTATTTACACGTGCCCCTCGTGCTACAGATTTTTATCTTTGAATGCTTGAACTTTCAGTCGATGTTTTGTTTGAAGGACTTATTCATATCCACCGGTATACGCGGAGCGTTACAACATAGCGAACGAAAGGACAAAGAACAAAAAATAACGTAACGGAAATCATTGAAAAGCATACAGTTTCTACTCTTCTTAGAATCTAGAGTGTGTAGTGTGCACAAAGGAAGAAGAAAAAAAAGAGTGAGGAATAAAAAAGAAACAAGTTTGTGTGTTATATCTCTATTTTCTCTGTTGAATTTGTAACCTTATCATATATACATCTAGGTTGCTCTGCGTTCACATTTAAAATACTTCTTCTTGCTGTGCGTTGCACTGCTGTGTAAGTGAGGGTTCTCTAGACTACAGAAGAGAGAGAGAGAAAAAAAGAGCCGTTCTGGACCAGGGGAAATTATTTCGAATAGAGCATATGAAAAACATTTGCAAATTTTTTTCTCTTTCTTTCCTTTTTTTTATTATTCTCTCGTAAACTGTGCGAATGCATCCGCATGAATTAAAATAAAAACAAAAGTTGAGTGTGAAAGAGAGAGAGAAACAAACTGAACATCAATAACAACAGAAAAAAAAAGCGAAACAGAGAACGTAAATCAACATTCAGACAGTGGCTACATCACATTTTTGCATGTGTCTGTGGGTGTGTGTGTGTGTGGATAAAAGAATCGACGAATCTACGCGGAAATTTGCAACACAATTGAAGTTGAAGTTGCGTGCGTGTCCATGTGCATATAGATTTATATACGCGCGTATGTGTGTATATGTGTAAAAACACTATAACTTTAAATGCATTTTTGCGCTGCAACGTTCGATGGCTATGCAATTTAATTTTCTGCCATACCTCTCTGTGCTGTAAAACGAAAAATTTGAACAAAAAAAAAAATGGACGTGAATGAGTGAAATAAGCGCATGCATTTGATGCGGCGGCGTAATGTGTCTTTCTCTTGCTCTCGCCTCTCTCCATATGAAAAGTATTTTGTAGTCTATTTTCGTTGAGTGAGTGCTTTTATGCTTATTGTAAGTGGTAGTAAGGGCATAGCAGAGCAATAAGACCATCAAGCATCGATAACAAAACAACATTCACACACAAAAAAGTGGTCTAAAAGCAAAACAAAAAGAAAGAAGTTTGAACATAAAATACAGAGAGAGAGAAAAAAAACGAACCGGAGAAAGAACTGATTGCGCTTTTTCAACCCCGGTTGTACTTCGTGACTGTCGTTTTATGCCAACGATTTAAGTCTGTGTGTATACATTGCACTTGGCCATATTTACCATTTTTTTTTTCACGATCATTTCAAGTAGAAAAAAGCGGCGCACTCTTTCTGGAGTTGATGATTGCTCTTCAGATCTCGTGAGTGGTATTAATTCCCATGGTACACTTTTTTTCGGTACATGTGTATGTGTGTGTGTGTGTGTGATTAAGATGTTGATGATTGTTTTCACGGGATTCGAAAAACGTGGACTGTAATTTACCGGAAAAATACATTTGCAATTTTGAAGCGAAATAAATCTGAAATAAGGACAAAAGAGCCGTAATCATACAATTCAAGTGTAGTTTGTGCTGAAATTGTGCTTTCAACAGTATTGACGTACACCGCGCACGGATCAACTGAGCTCGTTTGACAGGTAAGAATTGAAACACATAAGATACACTCTTTGAATAATATGAATTGAAACTCATTTTTAGAATATGAACAATCGTTCGAATTTCAACACTTTTGGATTTCTTCTCTTTGTTCTTGGCTTTTTGATTTTTTCTCCTGGATCTTTGATCGTACCATTTCGATTTTATAGTTTCCAATGGAGAAAAATACGCTTCAATATTGTGATCACTATCCACCAAAATATACACCCATGTTGAGATAGAAACGAAAATGAGCACGACGCGATTTGTGCCACCAATAAATTGGGCAATGAATGTAGCGCCATATACACAGCGTACATACAATGCTAGAATAAATTAGCAATAATCGGCTTGAAATTGCTTATGTAAGGCAAAACCTCTGTTCGCCCCGGATCAATTGTTTTCCGCGGTTTTACTCGCGCTAATAAATGGCCATGGCAATTTGTGCTATCATGTTTTCACGTTGTTCAAACTACATAAAATCTCGATGCGCTTAGTACATGGTGAATGCATGAAGACAATTACAAATCATGTCAGCATAATTCAGGCTTTGAACATTGTGTGAATTAGCTCGTTTATGTGTTATGCGTTCTTTATATTCTTCGCAGCCACTCGATTTTCTCTTGTTCGTCTCGTTAATTATTATGATTATGCAAACGTTGTACACTAAGTGCCACCTTGTTCAACTGTTCCGAAAACGAATGATTGCTTCAGGAATCTTTTCATTCCAACTATATTACACATGGCCGGAATGGGAATCGAATTTCTCTCTGGCATTCTTGTTATCTTCTTCGCTTCGAAACTTTCATACAATGCTTTTCGGCTGACGACTTGCACATTCCAAATCATGCACTTATAAATCATTGAGTTAACTAAACTCTGCTTTGCTTATTCGCTGGAAATGAAAAATGATCCTGAATAAAAAGCCTTTCCTTCACTTTGCCGCCACCATAGCAGCGCAGAGAGAAAAAAAAACCGTCATTAAGTTATGAACACCACACCACTTGTGACTATCAAACGCGGCGCTGACGTTATCAAAAATCCCTTGGAATGTTTTGCACTTTCTGCGCGAATAATTTTCGTGGATGAAGTGAAAGCGACACACAGGTTTTTAGCTATTGGAAATATTTTGTCAAATTATTTCGGTATTGAATGCGTCGAAAAGAAGAGGCGAAAAGAAGCATATCAAAATGAGGATGTGGGAAAACTTCGCGCGAAAGTTTCGTACAATTTCCAACTGATTACAGGCAAAATGAAAGATGTTAATTATTGCTCGGTTTAATTAGAGCTCACGACGAGACAAAAAAAAAGAGCTGCAATGAAATCAAATTAGTTGCAAAATGGAGGATTACATCCACTTTTACCCCCTCGTTATATTCTATATTTCGTTAATTTTCAAAAGGTAAAAGTCGAGATTTTTCACCGAATCTTGTTCACCTTTTTCTCTCCCTCTCAATTTCCAACACGAACACATAGTTGGAAATGTTGATCGTTTGAAGTTGTTTGACTTTGCTGCTACACTATAAAGTTCTGCGCATTTTTTTTTCTCCACAAATTTTTTTTCCCCTCTTCTTCTTCATTCAAGTGCTGTGGAAAATTATACAACAATTAAATCGAATGTTCGCTACGATATGGTTCGTCAGCAATAGTTTTTGAAAGTTATTTTCAATGGCAAAAAAAAAACTTACCTTTTAACATTCATTTGCAAATTGAAGTACACGTTCACTTGAAACGCAAAAAACTTTTACAATTTCGAATGTTTTTCGTGTGAAAATGGAGTGCGTTTCCGTCCGTATACGTCGTAATTAAATTGATGGTGGCTAAATCCCATTTACGGCACCGAACATAAAATTGGAAGTAAATAAGGTGCCATAATCTGGTAGCAATCGCCTGCAATGCTTGCCATATCAAACGATGCGGTGTACACATTCTTCTATTCACAGCATGACGTATTGACCGAATATACGATGAAAACATAGTCACCCATGGTGGGTCATGATTTGTGCACTGAATGAATTAATTAAAGTTTTTCCCACCGTCAATCGTAATAAAATGAAGACAACCAAATGAAAATCGGCTTTCACGACAACACTCTTTGACTGTTGACAATTTCAATGGAAAAGAACACACACACACACACACACGCACACACAATAAAGCGATCGATGCCAGCAAATTTAGCAAAAAGCGCTACGAATGCTTGACTTTGGTTTGGCGTTGATTTATTATTTTAATATTGTTATATACACACATCTAGTAACATAAATAGAAATGAATGGGGAAAAAATCTGACTGTTTTTTTTGGCCTCTACCTGCACACTCTTCCGATGTGACTGTTGCCAATAAATTGAAAATTGTGGAAAAACCAATGAATGGCTTGTCACATAAAACCCAGTACCCACACGATACACAATAAATTGCGTTACTATATCGAGAGAAAACCAAGTTGTCATTCAACTCATTTTACATTTCGCCTTGGGAAAGAGCAATGAAAGAAAATATTTTCTTCAATTCACTTAGAAAAATTCAATAAAATCGACTAGCAATAATAGAAAGACAAAGATAATAGACAAGACAATGTAGCATCGGTGTAGCGGAAACGATGGTGCTGTGGCGCCAATAATGACGTTCGAACATCGACTTGTACATCGATTTATCGATTGGTTTGTGTTTGCTCACCGGCTGTCTCTACGAATCGAAAGGAAATGAAATTTATTTGATTTTTCCAACGTTTCGTTGGCAAAGCAGCCTCATATAATACCCGCAGGTGCCTGCAAGAGACATACAAACGAGAGAGAGAGAGAGAGAGAGAGAGAGAGAGAGAGATAGCGAAAAAAATGAACAACAACGTACAAAATAAAGCGCATCAAATGTTCAAATCGATATTTTCATTTTACTCACTCGCATCTGCGATATCATAGATCTGAAATCCCACTGCATTATGTTAACAGTTACCGCACTAGTGAACGCCATCAAGATAAATATACTTGAGGCAGAAGAATCTCGATGCGAAAGAAAAAAAAATCGACGCAAACATTTGGCATTCGATGAATTAACCATAGAAAGTTCCTGTGCAAAATCTCCAAATTGATATGATACAAAAAAAAAAAAAACATTTCAACGTTTGCTTTTGAGCTGTAAGCAATTTAGTGGGGGAGGAAAAACTGAATCATATTCAGAAATGTGCGCACACACACACACACACACACACCCGATAGAACCTTATGACGATAGGAAATTGAGTTTTCATTCGTGGTCCTCGAAATTTGGTCGAAATCGGATGTGAGTGAATCATTGTTTTTTGCTCTTTCTTCTATTTACATACATCGAAATGCATGGAAAAATGTGCAAATATGTTTATATGCTTATTTGGATTAGATGTGTGTTCAGTTCACTGCTCATACATACGGTGAAAGAAAAAGCTGCAGAAAAGAACGAAAAAACCATCCATACCGTTTACCAATGTTAAAATTCAATTTATAAAGCTTTTCTTTAAATCCATATACGAATCCAAACAATTTCTCTGCATGCTTGGTTTTTTTTTCTACGCTCAAAAGTTAATAGTCCGATTCCATGCTTCATTCCATTCGATTCACCGCGCTGATGTGATTCTGATTGTAGTTGTTGTTAATTTTATCCAGCGATTATATTCGCTCGCCCATTGATCTCCTAAGGTTTCCGAATTTCATTGAACATTCCTGTGTCATAGACAAATATGAGTTATTCAATTTAAATTCAATGCAGATGAATAGTCAATCGCTTCCGAGGAGATCGACATAAGCTCAAGCATTCGTTCACTTTCTCAACGATTGCAAATTAGCAAATAATCCTCATGTAGCCAAGGGTTTTCGATGGAAAAATACATTTATGATAAAACGGTCACCTCTATACACACCTTCACAATAGAGCTCTTCCAAACAATTGGCTGCCATCATAATGGAAAATTCTGTAAATCAACGGAATCCGCTGGCACTTTGTATCGGGGAAAAGAAAAATGCCGAAATGTATATTTTCAAGAAATGTTGATTCCACGCACAATTTGAATAGCTTATGATCTGACGGAGTAAATCCATGTTCCAATATGATTGGATGAGACACTCAGCCTCAGCTATATATACATGTAACTGCATGATGGTAGGTGTGACTGAGCTCGAAGAAGAATTTCCATAACAAGATCCATCTGCCACCTTTTCCATACCTCCGATTCGATTCACAATCGGATTCTGTGCATCAGCCGAGCACCTCACACCGCACTCTTTAGTCAAAATCGACGACAACGTGTGTATTCAAAATAGAACTTTTTTTTTCTCAGAACAAAGCACTTTGCCCGTGTAATATTTTTCACCTATATGTTTCATTTTCATTTTGTTTAATGGTAACTGTTGCTTCTTTCCAAGTATTTTAGCACTGGGTATGAGAGAGCATATGCTATTCAAGCTGTAATACCAACAAACACCTAAATGTGTGTTTATCAATTTGCGGTTCAACTTCGTTTCTTTCATGTAATTTGCTACATATTCTTGCCATGAATGAAGACATTTGACCCATACAAAGATATCAGCAAAAAAAAAATTCCCGCACCTTAAGACGGTTTCGAACGTCGTCGTCGTCGATCTAAGACGCGATTATGGTGGTGCAAATACATCCATTATGTATTCCAATCCAAATTTGTGCCGGAGCAACACGCAAATATTAAATTTCGAACGAGAGAACAACAACAACAACCAAAAAAAAAAACTTATTGATGTACCCCAAAGAAAATGGCAATAATAACAATAAGAACACATACATGTCTGAACATTTGTGAGTGAAATATATTTGCGTGCGTATGTGTGCGTTAGCAAACACGCAGAGTTAGCTGAGATAGAGCTATTGCATTGAGCTAAGAAATAAAACAAGCAACGATACGACACAATGTAACATACACAGCATGTGAACGCACATTTGTTTCGAATCGAAGATTTATTGTCGTGATGTTTTCTGTCAGCATTTCAAATGTTAA